TAAACATTTTTTAATCAAATAAAATTTTTACTATTACTTTCTCAAAAGAATTAGAATAGCCTCTTGCTAATGCCAACGGTGACATAGGCACCTAATATATAGCTCTTATCTTTAAATTACAGTAATTTCTAAATATTGTTGAACATAATCATTAAAATCAAATTTATTATGGTAGTCATAACATACTGTTGAAAAACCATACTCATTTTGCTAAATGAGGTGAAATAGGTCACTATTCTTTATTAATATAAACATTTCACATTATGGATGACATGGGTTTTTTCCCCTATTTTCAAATGTTAGTCTTGAAATCTACACAAGAAGGCTATCACCTCAGTCACAGTGATTTTTACATTGCTGAAAATGCTTTCCAGTGTTCTCAGAAACCCATGAGCCTTCAGTGAGTAATATATCAAAAAGCACTAAGCTATGAGATAGATGGCTTATCATTTTCTAGTAGGTGTGAACCTGTTTTGATTGGTAACTGTCACCATCCAGGAATACTACTGTCATTGAACTGCGTTAGGGATTATTTTGGGGGATATAATATGCAACTGTTCATAATTATGATCACTATATTTTTAAGTAGCAATATTTAAGTATTAACATCCCTAAATGGAAGCTCCACTCTGGTGCCACTTCACTACTGCATTAATATTTTTAATTGCCTAAATGGGTTTTGGCTCTGCAGCTGCTGTCATTATAACAAGTCCCAATAATAAGCAATGGTTATTCAGGGAATGTGTTTACTTCAGAAGGACAGGAGCATTTGCACTGCTTTCTAAATGTGCATTCTGCCCAGAAGTCATAAATGTGCTCACTGATGTCATGGCTTCCTTGATAGCTAGGTTTCCATGGCTTCTGAGTGAATATTTTGACTCCCTACAGCCATCAGGGTAAAGTTAAAAAGCCCTCACAAACTCACTACTCCCATTTCTTCTCTTACATCCTCTGTTCCAAACTCTGCTTTGCCACTAGCATTCTTGATTATATAATACTAGTCTCTTCCTGAAATTCACTCATGCTATTTATGTGATTATCCTTGGTGTTGTCAAAACATTCTGATTCTTAGTTCTTAAAAATAATAAATTTTTTTTGATAGAATTATTATTCATAATTTTTTTCCTTCTCGTCTCCAAATTTAAACTCAGAGAGGGTAGCACTATTTTTTTTTAATTCTAAGAAATTATGTTCAGCACATAGCTGACATTCAATAAATGCTTGATGAAATCTTCTTCTGGATAATTACATCTATTTGAAATTTGGCTCAAGCAGCAGCTTTTTGGGAAAATCTTCCCTAATACTACCCAATGAACATTTATCAAGTACTTCTAAAGTATAAAGGCACTCGTATATGTTCATTTGTGGATGCAAAGATATGTTGTGTCCATGCACAGAGGAATTAGGAGAGCAAATGGTTAATGGCAGGATCTGTATCTAAAAAAGGAAGCCTGATACCTTTCAAGAAGTCACTCTTACTTCCTCTATCTTATTTCCATTCTCCCTGTCAATTTTATGTATGTATGTATGAATATATATATATACTATATATACAAACATGTTATATATTTTTATGATTGAATTTCTCTACTGAATTTACCATTTCTTTTCTTTTCCTAGTCTTTCTTTCTTATGTTCACAATGGCACAGTGGAACAAAGTCAGGCATTGCAGTCATCATTAACAGTAGCGTTTTCAAGCTAGAAACCCATACATCTTCCCCCAGCAGGCTATTATCTTTAAAGCATAACAGAATAAAAGAACTAGTGAAAATATTATATTTCAATAAATAGATTATTTCAAATTATTCTTATTTCTAGATTATCTGGTCAGGGTAATCCAGTCCCTGGTATCTGTGGACAGACCTCTGTCCCCCAAGAGAAGCTATTTTCAAAGTACACACATAAAGAATACATTACCATATAGTGATCAGTTATATGACAAACTTAAAAATTTAAAATCACTGCTTTATAACTAGATTAAAATTGTAATGAGACCCTGTTTCTACAAAAAAAATAAAAATAAAAAATAAAAAAAAATCAGCCAGACCTGGGGGCATGTGCCTGTAGTCCCAGGTACTTGGAAAGCTGATGCAGGAGAATCCCTTGAGCCCAGGAGTTTGCATTTAAATAAACACCAATTCTTGAACTTGGGTATAATTACTATAAAATGCATGACTAAATGAATTATACACACCTTAGGTAAGTGTGTTTGCTAAAGTCCACCTGACAATTTAAAATTTAGAAATGTATATGAATATGGCATCCAAATATATGGCAGAGCTCTATGAAGATTAAAATTCTGTTTTTTATAACTTTGTTAACAGTTATAAATTAACAACATAAATAAAAGAATTTACACCTCCCAAAAATGACAGTTTTATGAAAGACCTCAAAATAAACACAAAAGATGTTGACGTTGACTCCAGACATAATTCCTAGGTTATTCAGAGTTTCAAAAGCAAAGTGTAACAGTGGCACATGTTTGTTAATTAATGAATTACAAACCCAAGAACTAAGTTCCTCAGAGCCCAGTGTTCTAAGTATCAAAAAGATCATCTAAAGACTGGGTGAGAAATAATAAAATCAATATATTCAATTTCATACTCCATTCATAATTCAAAATTATGTATAAAAAGGAGACAAACATTTAATAGAAGTTACATAAATTCTAATATGACGTGAATGAGGTATTTAATCTCAGAAAGGCTCTAAAATGAGAGAAAATTAACACTGTGAAAGTAAATAGTTACTCCATTTTCAAAGTTAGCAGAAACTTCTCAGATGTTATGACTAACAATTCTACACACTCTGGAGGATACCTGTTTTACTCCACTTTGGAAGAATAACTTCATGAAAACAATAATACCTCAATAAAATATATAAGCCCAAATTTACATGAATATGTACTGGTAACACAGGGAAAAATTTATTTTTAGGGATACTCAAGAACTTTATTAATCATCACTGGTGCAAAAAGTGTAAGTTTAAAACTATAAGAAACAAACAGTAGCAGAAATAGCCTGTCTTATTGTGGCAGGGTGGAATATTAGAAGTGAAACCTTAAATTCCCACAGTCCATTGGCCTGTTAGAAACCAGGCAGCAAAGCAGGTGAGCCAGCAAGCAAAGCTTCACTTGCATTTACAGGTGTTCTCCATCACTGGCATCACCACATGAGCTCGGCCACCTGTCAGATCCTCAGGGGCATTAGATTTTCATAGGAGCGTAAACCCTACTGTAAACTGCACATGTAATGGATCTAGGTGGCACACTCTTTATGAGAATCTAATGCCTGATGATCTGAGGTGGAGCTGAGGCAATGATGCTAGTGCTGGGGAGTGGCTACAGATACAGATTATCATTAGCAGAGAGGTTTGACTGCACAATGAATGTAATGTACTTGAATCACCCCCCACCCCCAGTCAACTACATGGAAAAATTATCTTCCATGAAACTGGTCCCTGGTGCCAAAAAGGTTGGGGCCCACTGTATTAGAGAATTTTCAATGTTTAGAACTTTAAAAACAGAAAAAATATTTAGGAAAATATGGATGGTGCAGAAGCTATAGCATATATGAATAAATAAAATGCCCTTTTGGGAGCAACCTCTGTGAAATCTCATACAAACCTCTAAGTCACACTTAAAAACCTGGAATACCTCATGGATGCATTGTGTTCCTTTTTTATTTTTTTCAACCATGTACATTTTCAAAAGATGCTGTGTGTGTAACTATCCTCTATCAGGATTTTCCTTGAGTCTATGGACTCAATGATGAACAAAAATGATAAAATCCCCTCTTAGAGCATATATCATGATTATACATACACATATAAACTACATATATATAAATATATATGCAATTAAAAAATTTTATTAAAAGGAATTCATAGATGTCATATTATTTGAGGCAAATGAAATACAATAAATAATAAAATTACAAACTCTGGTAGACTAAAAATAACAAAAATTATCCTAAATCCATTTAGGAACTAAACACTATTCTAAACACATCTGAGAAGCAAAAGCAGTAAGAGAAACTTCCTTGATTTAAAATAAAATCAATACTAAAATTACAATCTACTTAGAAATAATAGATAGTCCATGTACTAAGATATATGAACTATTCTCAGACTGGTAGTCAAATAAAAATGTGCACACTTAAATGCATTTATTAAAATATGACAATGAAAATGTTATCTATCCAATAAGGTTTTAAAAATTATACAAATATTGAAAAGTAAACAAAAAGGAAAGCAGAAGTTGATAAGAAACACAACAGGAAAATTTAAGTAGCCAGTAGGTAAAAGATGATGTCACAGAGAGGGCTTTTAAACTGGCAGCTGACTTCCCATCAGCAATAATAAAAGCCAGATGACCACGGGAAAATATCTTCAATGTGTTAAGTGAAATTGCCTGTCTACCAAGCATACTTTACATAATGAAAACTTTCAAGAACGAGAATGAAATAAAAATATTTCCATACTAAGAAAAAGTAAAGTGTTATACAGCCTACAGGCCCTAACTAAAGAAAATTGAGACATTTATTTCATATGGGAAAATTATTCCATATGAAAGCTCTGAAAGAGTGGGATGATCCATCAATGGTAAAGCTAGGCTTCATTTATTGTTTAAGAAGAGGATCAAGATTCTTCAGAATTAACTGTAGATTTTGTTAACTATGAAAGCTAAACTAGCAGAGAAGAGTTTCCCAACAAACAAAAAGGATGAAAGGAATGAGAACAAAATGACCAAAAAAAGAAAAAAAAAAAAAAAAAAAAAAAAAAAAAAAAAAACTAACAGGAATGAAAGTGATTAAAAAAAAAAAAACCGAGGGAATAAAAAAATTGATACAAATGCAAAAACGTTAATACAAATATTATGAAACTGATATCTTAAAAAATAACCTATGCTTTAAATGTATTCAAGTAATAAACATAAGCATAAAGAAAGGTTGAAACTCAAAAAAGATTGAGATTCAAGAGGAAAGATATGGCAGGCAAAGGGTAACCAAAAGAATTAGAAAAGTTATATTAATATTAAAATTATTAGATTTCAAAACTAAAAACACTGTCCTAGATAGGAAGTAGTCTGCTACACAATAGTCAAAGTTCAGGTCAGAAGTGTAAACTTGTATATACCTGAACAAAGTAGCTACAAAGTATGTAAAGCAAATTTAATAGAAATAAACAAATCCACTATTATAGTTGGAGCCTTGAACACATCTCTCTCAGAAGATGATAGTCAGTCAACAATAAATTATGTAAAAGATGTAAATTGAAAACATAACAAATATAATCCGATATATAGAACACATTACACACAATTCTAAAATATACATTCTTTCCAAACCCATGTCAAACTGTATAAAAGGAACACAGCAACGTTATATGGCTTCCCTCACCAAACTGCAAAGTTTTATACAGATGACCAAGTTAGAATAAACTTAGATTATCCTCCCATAGACATATAGTAGAAGACCAAATTATTTTTCAAAGAAACTCATGAATCATTGTAACAGAAAATAGAAAATGCTATGAATTGAGTTATTGTGAAAATACTTAGAGGAAGTCAGAAGATATTTATAGCCTTAAATGTCTGAGAAAACAAATAAAGATCCAAATACATGAGTTTATCATCTGATAAAAAAGACAGTTTACAAAAAAAGTACATCTTGCCACCCAAAAAGAGAAGGGAGGAAATGACTGAAATATCACTAGAAGTCAATCAAACAAAACATACAAAAGTGGATCACAAAAGCCGCATCTTTGAATCTTTGAAAAGATGAACAATGAATGAATATCTGAAAAAAATGACCAAGGAAAGTATTAGATAAGGTATAAAAATGTATCAGGAATGTAACATTAGGCCATGTACCCTCAAACAGAGTCAGATATGTTATTACAGCCCTGGTTCATAGCAAGGGGCCTAGCACAAAGGACTCAAACATTTGGATTCATGAATAAAATTTGGGTCAGTGAATAAAATTACCTTCCCACATATAACTATCTGCATAATGCATTCTCCTCTTCCTTGAGTTAAGCTCAGTATGTTTGCATCATATGATGAAGCAACCTGAAGCCCCACACAGGGACCCTTCCCATCTGCATACCCTCTGTTCACACCAGTTGCAGCTCCTATCATGCTATTGTCCTTTGAATGTCTGTAGTTCTTACCACCAGAATATGAAGATGAATAAATTGGCCACTGAGAGATCCAGCACTTATAATCCAGATGCCAGAGCTTGCACCTACCTGGGTGATGGTCAGAAATCAGACTGCACTCAGGGGTTCACAGTCCATCCTGCAATGAGGGTGGGGCCAGGAGACTGGGAAAGAGGAAGAGATGGGTTAGACCCAGGTGGGCTGGGCACTGTAATGAGGTGTTAAGCTTCAACCATAACAGAAGCTCTTTCCTTTCTCCTGTCTCCCATCTGCTCAATGGGCAGCAGAGCTCAGATGTAGAGACATAGTCTAGAGGCCCTCTCTCCTTCCATACTTCCATCAAACACACCAAAGTCGAAGTTAGGGTCTGACCTGCTCTAGGATCCTTCCCCACGCTCAGGGAGCCATGGCAAGCTCACATCTCCAGCAGGTTGTCGGCTAGCAGCCTTGGTGGAATATGGTATATAGTATGGACAGAGAGTAAGGTCAATTTCCCATCCTCTCTCTCTATCTGCCTGTCCATCTATCTCATCTCTCATTCACCTTGAAGGACACAACATCATCTTTCTCCATAGTGTCTCCAGTGTTCTGCTCCTGGGGCTGGTTCAACTGGTGGGGCTTATCTTCAGGAAGATCCAAGTGGAGAGGCAACTCCTGTGGCATCTCTGCCTCTGTCTCAGTCTCAGCCTCAGGTAACAGCAGTTTACCCTGAAGGGTATTTAGCAGCTGGAGGAAGGTCTGGTACCTGGAAGGAGGAGGTAGGTGTGAAGGGAGGGAATTTCAGCTAGACCATTCTGGGTATGCAGTCCATGTTCTTAGCCTTACCTCTGCAGCTTATCCCGTTCCCATCCTGCCTGCTGTTTCAGGGTTCCAACTTCCTGACATAGCCGCTCAAGCGCCTGCTGAGTTTCTGTCTGACGCTTCCTTACCTCTGTAGAAACCTCTGCCAGATGCTGCAGACATTTCTCCTGCCAGGAATGAGGGTACAGGCATGGTATATCACATACTGAGGTTTAGAGCCATCCCCCACTATGCCTCCAGCCTATACCTAGCTTGGGGCTCAGATTCACTGATGGAAAGAGGGATCCCATTCACTTCAGGCAGAAGTAGGGGCATACAGACATAGAAAAGGAAGGATCAGAATGAGCTTGTTTTAGGGTGAGGCATCCTCAAGGAATGGGCACAAAGATAATGATAAAGCTTCTTTTGCTTGCTATGTGCCAGGCACTATTTTAAGCACTTGCTGTAATGAATATTTAATTTAACAACTCTCTAGGGCAGATGCTATTATTGCCCCTATTTCACATATGAAGAAACAAAGAAAGTTAAGTGACCTGCTCAAGGTCATGCAGTGATAAATGGTGATGCTGAGATTCAAGCCCATGTTGGTATTTATAATGCCTCAAAGGAAGGAAAAAAAATGAAGGTTTTCTAGACAGAGGACACAGCCTATGTAATAAGCATGGTGGTGGGAAGGGATAACCTCCTAGGGGGATGAACCTACCTGTTGCAGCTGCCTCTGCTTCTGGGCTGCTCTGAGTTTCTCCATGGCTATTTGCTTCTGCAGATAGCAAAGACGGGGGACAGGGAGAAGAGAAGTACATTTTTTCTCTTTGAATTTTGGGAGATGGCAAATGAGCTTAATCCAGTTGGCTCATTCTTTCTCTCTTCCTATCTTCCTGGCTTCCTCTCCCCCTATTCAATGCCCCTGGGTGTACCTTGGCCTGGAGCTGCTCAAAAGCCTCCTGGAGCTGTATTTGCTTCCTGTGGACCTCTTCCTCCTGGGTCAGGGCCCGGGTCAAGGCACTTCTGATGACCTCCACGTGCTCCCGGTATGTGGCCTTCAGCTCTTTCCATTGTTCCTTGGCTGCAATTGCCTTCTGTCCTGAGAAGAGCCACCAGCAATGAGGGCATAAGTGAGGCTGGCCTGACAGCCTGCCTCCCTGTAATGCTCGGCCTCAGTCTTCCCATCAACCAAACACAGGAACTGACATCTTCCTAACTTTTCTACTCAGGCCAGCCCCTCCCCCCAATTCCCTGCCTACTCACCGCTCAAGTCTTCAGAAGCCAAGGGGTCCAGGCCCTGGGCAGTGTCCTCCTGAGCCAGGAAGTTCTGCAGGAAGTCCACTACCTGAAGCTGGCTGCAGAGCAGCCTGTCTTTCTTCTGTGAGTCCTGTTCGGAGGGAGGGTAAAAGCAGGGAACATTTTGGGAACTTCGTATGGGTTAACAAGGTTGCTTTCCAGTCTGTTCTCTATCAACACTGCCCAGTATCTCAAGAGGAGGAACCAGGACCAGCCCCTGACTTCTGAAAGGCTGGCTCCCATCTTGTACATACCATCACAAACTCAGCCAGGATCTGGGATGGCAGTTCGGACTCTTCCTGCAGGCCTCTAGGCTCCAAGATACCTGCCACTTCAGCCAGGACCCTGGAGAAGCAAGAAAACAGAGGAAACTGCAGTCTTCTGCAGTACCAGTTCTAAAGTATGTGTGTAAACGCACACAGATTGAATGAGTTTATCAGCACTGAGAGTCTTGCCCTCACTAGAGGGTACACAAGGGCCTACATTCTCAGACGGAGAAGGTGTGTACAGGGAGGAAGTATGGTGGTAACAAGTGCCAAAAGGAAAAAACCAGCAGGTCTAGAGAATAAGAAGTGTGGGGAAGGGGCTGAAATTTTAAATAGGGAGTGTCTCCCTGAATAGAAACCATTTCAGTAAAGACCTGAAGACGGCGAGATAAGCAGGAAAAGGGATGAATAAGGACAAAGCTTTGATGGCTCTTGGGAACAGATTGGCATACCGGACTAACCTTGGGACAGGTTCTCAGAAAAGCTGAGGAAGGACTCAGGACAGAGGGCTAAATGCCTTGTGCTAGCGTCTGAAGGTTTTTTCTTGTTAGGGACTGGAGTAGTCCACTAGGGAGTGGGAAAGTACTGTGTTAGGACGTAGGACAGAAATTAAAAGGCCCTTGCACAAAGTCTCCGGGGGGATGGAAACGCATGAAGGGATGGGACCGTCTCTTAGAGCACAGTCCCCGGGAGTGTGACAATGTGAGGAGCGGAGAGGCTGTACTCCCAGAGTGCCACAACAGTCACCTCAGAAAGCTAACACTGGGGACTGGGGTCAGGATCCCTTCCTGGTGGGGTGGAAGCTTAAGAGCTGTACAGGTTCGAGAGGACCAAGTATTGCCCGTGGGGTTCGGCAGAGTCCTCTCCGTCTCGCTACCAGCTGTTACCTGGCCACAAACACTTACTCCAGGGCTCCAGCCTTCGCCACGGTCTCCGCCACCTCCATTCTTCCGGACGCCGAGCCCAGCTACCCTCACCCCACCCCTCAGAGTGCTTTGGATTCACCGCGGACAGCGCGCCGGGGCAGGCGATTGGCTGCTGGGTCGGTAGGCGGGAATCAAGGACCATCTACCGTTCTAATTGGCAGGCGCGGGTTCGCGCCTAGGCGCGCGCCGGGTTGCGCGTGCGCAGTTGTGGCTGGGCGCTCTCGGGTCCTGCGCCTGCGCGCTAGGCAGTAGGCGGGGCTGGAAACGGAAGGTGGGGCATGAACCAGGCTGTACTTAGGCCGCGTTCCTCTCATTCTACGCGGAAGAAGAAGAAAAATGTTCCTTTGAGTTTGTGTCTCAGGGTGAACGCCACAGTTTAAAACATTTCCTACTGAGCTAGGAGGAAAAAGAAAGTGGGGCTATTTTCTGAGACGCAGGGCATTTGTTACGAATAGTAATCTTAGAGATAAAAGAGAGCAAATGACACGAACTCAAAACGCATACTGCTTTTAAAGATTTTTTTTAAAAGGTGCGATGCAGGGAAAGTGAATCCAAGTAGAGCCCAGCGCATTACCTGTGTTGAAAAGACAGAGCTGAAATTCTGGGGAGATCGAGGTAGGTAATGTGTAGGAAAAAGGAGAGAACTGCTCAGAAAACTCGGAGTTCTGCAGAGTTTTCTTGAGTATTCAGCTGAGTACTGAGTGGCTTGTGTCTGAGGAAACAAAGATACCAGGAGATTACACAGGGTCTGAAATACTGGCAGGAAAGTCTTGCTTCAGTAGTTATTTACTAATTTGCTCTAGTGCCACCTAACATCTTAAAAGTAAAACCCAGGTGGCTCAGACTGTTAACAAATAAATATATGACAGCCCAAACTTCAATAATATGGCGATACAAAATGTGCAATAATCAATAAGGTACAATTTGCACCTGGCATTCAATCAAAAATTATCAAGCCTGCAAAAGAAAAAAAAAAAGGAGGAAAAGAAAACTCATGAGAGGAAAAATCAGTTGCTGATCCAAACTGAAATAGATGTTAGAATAAACAGAAAAGAACACTAAAACAGGTTATATCTATATAACTCTTTATATAGAGTATAACAATTATAACTATGTAACTATACCTAATATGTTCAAAAAGATAAGCAGAGCTATAATCAAAAGATAATAAGTGGTGGTAAGGATGTGGAAAACGTGGGACCTTCATCTTACTGGTGGCAATGTAAAATAGTGCATCTACTTTAGAAAACAGTGTAGCAGTTCCTCAAAATGTTAAACATAGAGTTACTATAGGAGCCACAATTCCACTCCTACACATATATCCAAGACAAAGGAAAACATGTGCACACAAAAACTTGAACACACACAAAAATCTCCATAACAGCATTATTCACAAGGGCCAAAAAGTATAAACAACTTAAATGACCATTAACTAGTGAATGAACAAAAAGAAATGTAGAGCCATTCAATGCAGATTTATTCAGCAATAAAAAAAGAATGGGGTACCACATATTAATGAATGAATGAACCTTGAAAACATTAAATATACTAAGTGAAAGAAGCTAGCCACAAAAAAACCACATGAGGTATTATTACATTTATGTGAAATGCCCAGATTAGGAAAACCTAGAGAAACAAAATGGATATGGGGTTTCTTTTAAGGGGTAAATGAAAATGTTCTACAGTTAGGTTATAGGGAGGGTTGTATAATTCTATACAAAAGGCCATTCAGTTTATACTTTAAACTGCTGTTTGAAAAGCTGTTAAAATTAATCAGAAGCATGAAACTTATACTAAAGACCTACTTCAAACTTGTAGAGATTAAATCTATAATGTGATGGAATTAGATTGCATTAATGGCATGTTAAACATTGCAAAATAAAAGATAAAAGAAATTGAAAACATAGCCCTAGAAACTATCCAAGATGAATCACAGAATGTTAAAAAAAATAAGTAACATGAGCACATCAACAGTGAACTGTGAGACAACGTCTAAGAGCCTAATATACTTGAAAATGGAGTCTCTGGAGGAGATGAAAAGGGAGAGGACAAAAAATAATAAGCAACAAATGACCAAAAATTTAAAATTTGATGAAAATTATAAATTTACATATCTAAGAACCTCCAAACCCCAGGCAAACATGAAGAAAACTACACCAAGGCATACCATAATTACATAGCTCAAAACCATTGATAAAGAGAAAATCCTAAAGCAGTTGTGGTTAATGAGGGGGATGTTGCATACAGAGAAACAAAAGGATTACAGGAAATTTCTGGTTTAACAGCCAGCAACAAGACAGTGGAACAACATCTTTAAAGTACTATTAGAATAAAAAAAGTAAACTTTGATTTCTGTATCCAGCAAAAACCATTAAAAAATGAAGGTTAATTAAAGATGGTTTTAGACATACAAAAGTGGAAGGAATTTTTCAGTGTCAGATCAAAACAGCCAGAAACATAAAAGAAGTCTTTCAGGCAGAAGGAAAATGACATTAGATTGAAATCTGAATGTTTACAAAGGAGTGAAATGTACCATAAGTGGGAATTACATGAGTAAATATTTTTTCTTAATACTTAAATCTTTTAGAAAAATATAATAGACTGTATAAATAAAAATAACAATGTGATTTGGGGTTTATAACATATGTAAAAGTAAAATGCAGCACAAGTGCAAGACAGAAGAAATGAAAGTAAATTATATGTCTTCATAGTTTCTATGAAGTGTATCAATTGAAGTTAGACTGATAAAACTATGAATTATAATCTCTTAAGCAATGGTGACAACACAGAATTAGTAGAATGGCTACTAATGAATCACTTCCTTGTATGATCTTTTCCTTTTAAGTGCAGATAGAAACTGTGACCAATAGAATATAGTAATGGTGATGGGCTGTCATTCTATTGATTAGGCTACTCATTAGGCAGAAGAGATGGCCTGTCACTCTTAATGCCTCCATTTCTCATTATGTAATTCTCCTTAGCAAACTGCATGAAGAGATTCTCCTGGCCTTGAAGAAGCAAACAGCCATGTCATGAGCTGCCTATGGTGAGTACCACATGGCAAGGAACTGTGGGTGGCCTGTATAGGATTTGCAAATAAACCATAGCTGACAGCCAGTAAGAAGGCACTGCCCTTAGTCAAAGAGCCACAAGAGGATTAAGTTTCTGCTAACAGTCTGAATAAGCTTAGAAGCAGATTCTTCCATAATTGAGCCTCCAGAAAAAAACACTGCCTAGTAAATATCTTGATTGCAACTTTGTGAGACTCTGAGCAAAATGTAAAATCCTGACCTAGGGAAACTGCTTAAAATCTTACCTGTGGAAACTAGGAGATAATAAATGTGTTTTTTAAAAGATGCTAAATTATGCTAATGTGTTACACAGCAATAGCAAACTAATATAAGCAGTTTCTAAAGCAACAAAGAAGCATAGCTAATAAATGAATAAAGGAGATAAATTGAAATCTAAATAATATTCAACTAATTGAAAAGAAGACAGAAAAAGAGAAGGAGAACAAAGAAGTGAGGGGAATAGAAAACAAGTAGCAAAATGATAGATGTAAACCTAAGCATATGAGTAATCACCATTAAATGTAAATGTCTTAAATATACAATTAAGATGCAGAGATTATTAGATTAGATTCCAAAGCAAAACTCAGTTATATTAAGAAGTACATTAAATATAAAGACACAAATAGATAACAGTAAAAGGATTAAAAAAATAACCATGTTAACACTAATTAAAAGAATACCGGAATGGCTATTTTAGTATAAATGTATATATTTCAGACAAAAGAATAACAGAAATAAGATGATTTCATAATGATAAAGGGGTCCATTGATCAAGTAAACTTAATCATGAATATTTTTGCACACCTTATATGAGACTATCACAATACATGAATCAAAACCTGAACTGCAAGGAGAAACATGCATTGAATGTGATGGAGCAGCCTTTTTTTTTTTTTTTTAAATCTAGTTAACTCCTAATCTTTATTTAAATTTCTGTTAAAATTTTTTAGACATGGTCAGGCCTTCTTTACCTATTTACCTATATTAAGCCACCTTATTGTAGGCTTACAGAGCTTTATGGACTTTGTAATTCTAGTCACATTTGAATTTTTACATCTACTTGTAGAATTATTTGAACTCTCCTTTTTTAATCAGCAAGCTTATTGAAGACAAGAGTTATATTTTTGTTTATAACTAAGAGCAATTAATAATATTTTTTTGGCTACATTATCGTATAAGGGAAATTTTATGTAAGGCCTTAGTAGGCCATTTTAAGGATACTGGTTTTTTCATAAGAGTAATAGAAAGCTATTGAAGGTTTCTAGATAATTATTGACAAGTCAGAGTTTAGTATGGCAAACCTAAGCCTGAATTGTGGTTGGGAAAATGAAAACAACTGGAAAATAATAATATTACAGGAGCCTTAGTGAAAGGCAAAAACATTTTGAATTCTGTAAATGGATAATAGAGATAGAAATAATACATTTAGGTGGGATGAATATTTAGGCTTTATGATTGATTTGGATCTAGATATGTTGGAGTCACTAAACTATTTATAAAATGTAAGCTACTTAGATTTCTGATGGTGCAACTTGATAATTGTGATACAATTTATTAAAATAGTGATTCCTGAAGGAGAGTTCTATTTGAGAAATGACAGAAAATCCTTAACCTATGTCTATTGATTTACTAGTTAGAAGTGTTTTAGGTATTTAAGCAGATATTTTTAGAAGACAAGTGGACAAGTAGTTTTAGAGTTTGAAAAAAGGTCAGAATTGGATATATACATTTAATCGTCATGATAGGTAAGTGAAACCATGGAAATAGATGGCATTTCCTAGGTTGTTAATATAGAGTGAAAAGGGAAAGAATGTTTGAATCAGTATAGTTGAGTAACTTACATATTATGGATTTCTGGATAAAAGATAGACTTCTAATAAGAGACATGTATCTACAGTGGTAAGAGAAAAAGCAACCAAGTGTGGTGTGCAGTAGACAAGAGACATGAGGGTTTCCCAAAAGAGAGATCACCATGCCACATCATACTGAGAGGACAAGTAAGATGAGTGGAAATGTTTGATTGGACGCAGCAACATGATGCTTATTAGTATTCTTTGTGAGCTGTGTTTGATAAAGTCATTAGAACATAGAATCCAGATTATAGAGCAAATATAAAGCAGATTGTATAGAAGCCTTAAAGCAAAGAAATGGAGATATGTATTATAAAGATTTTTAGGAGAATTTTGGCAGAATACACTAGAATGAGTCATGTTAATTCTCAAATCAGTAATTTTTCACTAACCAATACTTTCCATTTCAATTAGTATTATGTACGTAATTCTAATGAGAAATGCTTTTTCCCTATGCTTTCCATAAACGATCTTCTTCCTTGACTATTAAGAATTCCTCCTGCTTCATGTGTCTGTTTGCACACGTTCTATTTATTCTATATACGTGATACAGAAGAGATAATGAAACTTTCTAAAATACACATTTTATTAAAGTAAATAAAAATTGGCTTTATCTCTTTTTATACTTGAGGATTTAAATCCTTTTAATTTATTTTTCACAAATTCCCATAAAAGTATTGCCTTTTAGATAAGATACCTTCCAAATATATAAATGATGTCACTGTTGACATCTAAATTTAAATATCGTTATGGTAATCTGAAGACTAAATCATTAACGGATGTTTAAAAGTGTACCTGCAGTAGTAATAATTTCATTATGTATGTGTATATCAAAACATCATGTTGTAGACCTTAAATATATACAATATAAAATTTTATACATACAATAAACAGCAAATCAAAGTGACATGCTACAAGGTGAGCTTGGAAAATAGGACTTTAAACATCATACTGCATAAATTTGCCAACTTGGTTTAACTCTCCACTTGGTTCTGACTTAGATCTGGCCCACAATTGTAGTGAAAATTATTATAGATCAATAAAAAAGTATGATTCTAAGTTTCATCTCTTTCTGTGTTGTCCAATACAGTAGCTGTTATTGTTAAGCACATGTGAAGTGGCTCTGAAAATAGTACTTACATCAGCACTCAAATAGAATATCAACTATTTAATTGGAATGCCTGAAGTGATGATGGGAGCAAATTCATCTGAGATTCATAGAGCATTAAGGAAGTAGAAGTAATGAGATAAGACATATCTTTGCAATTGTCTATAAAAATGGCTCTAATATTTGATAAAACATTAAAAATGGCATACTAGAATGTCATTAGAATCAATTTTAATTGCATATAAACTGCTGTTTGGTGTGTTCACCTCTCCTAGCATTGTTTTAGTATTTGAAGCTGTTCTCCAGATCGTCTCTGCCCAGTGGCAAGGTCATCTAAATGAGTCATGGAAATCTAATGAATAAAACATTAAATATATAAGTATATTCATATATACATATACTCATTTTCTCTTTCTTGCTCTCTCTCCCCCCAACTCTACATATGTCTTCATTTGTATGTATCTCTTACACCATAAACAGTTAACTAAAAAGCAGCATTTTAATATCCATTTAATTTTCCCTTTGACTATTAGCACCAATCTTTTTTACCTATAGAATCTCTGACTTTTTTAAAATCTCTGAGTTTTTAATTTCCATTTCACAATTCTTCATATGTTAGTATGATGTAGATTCATTGTAATATTTATTAATTTACAGACTAAAGCAATAATGATTTAGATAAATAAAGCAAATGTGCCAAAACATTTTGAAAGGATGCTTAAAAGTGTACCTGCAGTAGTAATCATTTCATTATGTATATGTATATATCAAAACATCATGTTGTATACCTTAAATATATACAATATAAAATTTCATTCACTATGTCATATAACTCTCAAAAATACTTGTTTTCCTTTTCTACCTTCCTAAACATAGGGATATTTCTGTGTTTGTATTACTTCACAATTAACTGATTAGACAATTAACTGATGCATGTTTTTCTCTATATTTCTTAAATATCTTCCAAGTAGGGCCTTAGAACTTAAAGAAATTAGCCTGCTGAATTTTAAAAAAAGAGAGATATTTTGGTAATAGTAACTTTTTAAAAACATTTTTCCATAAGTAGCATCACAAAATATGTGATGAAAATTTTATAAAATAACCCAAACTTGGTAAATATTCCTTTAGTCTAGATGTTTCAATGCATTAAAACAAATTGTATATCTGATTAGAGTACTTATGTAGTAATCTAATCATATGGCAGACACTAAGATAATTAAAAGTACTCAATAGAGATTCACACTCTTGATGAGCAAAATGCTTTTCTAAAACAATGAAGATTTCCTGTAGTTTTATTGTGTTTTCAGTGCTCCTTTGGGAATAAAGGATCCTCATTTTACATACTTTTTAAAGCAGCTTTATTTATATATAAATTATATATTATAAATTACCAATTATAAGTATGAAATTTGGTAATTTTATTACATTTATAGAATTGTGCAGTTGGATTTAAGACATTTTCATCACCCCTAAGAGATCCATTTTGCCATTTGTAGTGAATCCCAATTTCTACTCCCAGGTCCAGATGAACACTGATACAATTTTTGTCTCTATATCCTTTTCTAGACATTCAGGATAGATATGATATGTACTTTATTTACATCTGGCTGCTTTCCCTTTGCACATTGTTTCTGAGGTTCATTCGTGTTGTAGCATGCTATCAATAATTTGTTCCTTTTTATTGATTAATATGTTCCAATGTGTATATATAATGCATAGAGTTTATCTGTTTATCAGTTGATAGAAATTGTATCATTTCTAGTTATTGATGTTTATAAATAATGCTGCTGTGAACTTTCCCTTAAAGGTTTTTATGTGAGTATGTATTTACATTTCCCTAGATATGATGCCTAGGAATGGAGTAGCTAAGTCACAAGATAAATATATGTTTTGACTTTTTAAGGAAGTGGCAAGATGTTTTCTAAAGTGGTGCCACCATTTTATATTCCCACCAACAATATACAAGGGTTTCAATTTGTACACGTCTTCATGTGTTGTGCTCAGTAATTTTGATTAT